GGAATAAAAGTGGCAACCATGTTGTATGGTTTTCACTATAGGTGGTTTGTAATCATTCCTAATGGAATAAAAGTGGCAGCCATGTTGGATGATGTTCGTTATTGCTGTTTTGTAATCATTCCTAATGGAATAAAAGTGGCAGCCATGTTGGGTGATGTTCACTTATTCCTATGAGAGATAAAAGTTCCTGATGACATTCATGGATGACAGGTATTCTTTGGTAAACCAGGAAAAGTAGTTACCATGTATCAACATGTTTGCAAAATGAGTCTTTCGTTTTACAATAGTAGAAAGGAATAGCTAAGTGCTTCACAAAAGTGTACCACTTATTCCAACATCAGGATGGATAATATAGTCGTTTCGTCATTTCTGAGGGAATGGTTCATTCTAAGGCATAGATAAAATATGAATCAAATAGCTATCGAGTTTTAGATGAACTAAAATAGATTTAAACATTTAAAAATTTCTTCTGGAATTTTTCAGCAAGAATAAGAAACTGTAATATCTTAAAATGTTTATTTTATATGCAAACTTTTTCTCTTTCTTTTTTTTTTTTTTTTTTTTTTTTNTTTTTGCAGGTGCTTGTGTGCAAGGCTAAACTGATTTTCTCTCTTGTTTAGTTATCTTTTTTTGCAGGTGCTTGTGTGCAAGGCTAAGCTCTTCCGAGAGAAAAATAGAATCTACGCCGCCGCAATCTTGAGCTTTTCCTTACAAGAAAGTCTCCCCTCTTTGCTTTGCAGGCTGCCGATATAGTGGCTGTAAACATGAAACATAAACTACGCCTTTTCATTCCATTCCATTGAATAAACAAGCAGGACTTGATTCGCAGGATATCGGTGCTTACTAATCCTACTTACAAGTAAATCAAGTCGAAAGACGGTTCTCAGCCGGGACGGAAGCCATCAAACAAATTCAAATTTTGAAGGGTGGCCACAGTAAGTGCGGAAAAGTTAAACGGTGAACGTTTATTCGAGTAGAAGAGGAAATATCGATACCTTATTCAAAAGTGTACTGCCTCTGATATTCTTAATGTTCTTAAAAGATGTAATTTCGACTCTGCAAGTGAGAGGTTGATGGCCATCAAGACTGTCATCGCAAGCGTCGCTTGGTTCGTCAAAACAAGAGATCTTTGAAAGATTATCCATAGCATTCGCGATCGATCTGCATTTGATACAAGTAGTAATATGAGATAATAAACAGGGTATGGCTTACGGAAGTCTTTGTGTGATTAATCTAATAGAACAACTTGAGATCATGGTAGAACCTATATAATAAAGATTACCGCTTCGAGATTGAGGATCTCGAAGATAGAGACACAAAACAGAGAAATTGGCCGTCAACCAGCAGGAAAATTAATAAACTTTTGAAAATCAAGAAAAATAATAGTACTTAGGTTTTGGGTTTATAAATGATTGGGTGTGAAGTGGACAACGAGATGCGTAAAGATAATATTTGATTAAACAGCACTTGAAGAAAGGTCGTGTTTATTTGTGAACTTCGATAAGTCGCTCAGACATGACAAGAGGCGGTTAAGCTGTACGCTGACTTCAAAAATATGACAAGCAAAAAGCTATATAAAATATCTCTTTCACTGTTTATAGCTGTATGCGCGTGGAGAAGATGGGTCTGCACATAAAATGCACGGATTGCTGCTGTCAATCAAACCTAATCAATCGGTACCTTTCATATTTTTGACTGGCGGCAACGAAAAACCAAATTTCAGTGTGCAACTTGGAGACACAGAGTTTGCGTGTTTATGAAAATTTCAGTAACTTGAAGGAAGGAAAGGAAGGAAGCTTCTTTATTTTGCCACGGTAAAAA